GTGTGTGTGTGTGTGTGTGTGTGTGTGTGTGTGTGTGTGTGTGTCAAAGAAAAAGATCTTGTAGATTGGGGCTGAATGAAGCATGTCTGTAGATAGTTGTCATAAAATAAGCCTTCTTTTAATGCCATGGGGTTTTTTTTTACAAATTAAACTGTAATTCACCTACCATACACTGTCCTACTCTTCAAACAGGCAGCTTGTATCTTTACCAAGCAAACGCACTCGTCAGCTCCTGTAACACACAAACCCACCGTCCCGACCAGCAAAACTCTCATCTCCACCCCAGCATAGCTGAGCTTTAAAAATGAGTCTGCAGCGTCTGACAGAGACACCCACTGTTTCTTTATATAACACCTTTTTATAGCACCTATTTACCTTGAAACGATGTTGCCAAGTAACAGCATCCCACTTGTGTGTTGGGGAGGGTGGTACAGGAGCGTGTGTGTGTSTGCATGGGTGGGTGTGGGTGATGGATGTCCTGAGGTGCCATTATTGGCTGTAAGTCGAGATTCTGGTAGCATCTGGCCAAAGGACTTCAAGTCCTTTTAACTCGATTCTGTTGGAAAGGTTCGGGCAGAGACACGTCGAAATGTTCCTGAAAGCCTGCATGATGCAAGATATTGCAATGATTGTTTTTCTTCTTTTTTTTAAACATTTATTTTAACCTCTTACTCTCTCCATCGCCCTCCGACTTAGCATGAGCTGCTTAACTGATACATGTAGTACAGTAATCCCCCCTTCTCAGTGAACGGGATTAATATTTAATTCAAGTAGAGTCTTTTATCGATACCGCTCGCTGTGCGTGCATTGTTCACTCTGTTCGGGGGGTGGGGGGTGTTCAGCCAGCTTTTGGCAGACCGGAGGAAGAGTGAGCACGTTAATGCGACAGACGAGGCAGATAGGAGGAGGGAAACGACCGACTGGAGCACCATCAGAAAGTCTTTCTTGTTCATTTTTAGGCAGAATAACTACAGGTGTGCAGGAAAGACAGCATCTTTTAGAGCAGGGCTGTCAATCTCTTTTTCACTCAGGGCTACATCAGCGTTAAGGTGACTCTCAAAGGACCAGTTGTAATTTACTTTGATTATTTCGTGTTTAACTTTGACTAAAACGTCACGTTTCTTGTTTCATTGTTATGGCTGAGCATCGCTAACAAACAACTGAGCTCTACGTGGTATTTCCTGCGTAGAAACACTGTTTTAACACATCCCCTTATAAAAACTGAAAAGAACTGCGTGTAGAACCAATTAAATGTGAAATAAATAATACCGAMATGTTATTAAAAGTAAAAGTAAAAGTAAGAGAGAGTTGTGGCGAGTGGCCACCATCTTGAATTTTGAGGTCTCCCACTTTCCGATAGGGAATTCCCAYTGGAGAGACATTCCAGTTTAAATGTACAACTTGTAAGAGGGAMAATCCCATCTCCCAGCACAACTAGGCCGCAGCAAAAGTATATGGCAAAAATGCAGCACGAAATGGAGAATTTACATTTCGAATTTTGACAAATATTTTGAACTCTGTGCACTAAAGCATCTTGTTTTAAGACAGTACACTTTTGAAGCTCTMGCAGGCCACATAAAATRCCACTGAAGACCACATTTGGCCAACGGGMCTTGAGTTTGGAATATGTTTTAAACAGATTCAACACAAAAAACCATACAAATCTGCAGATTTTTCAGACACAGAGCTAAAATTTGGCCTGGTAGAAGAAGAGTGTTTTTCAAAACTCACACTCCAAATGCTAACAGATCACGTGACCATGATATCCTAACCGGTTCAGCCAAAATGGTGATAATGCCATCGTTTAGCAATGTTTAGTTTAGTTTAATTCTTGTTTTGTTTGGAAGGATTTTAGGATGTAATTTTTGTGTGTTTTGGCCTCAGAACTCCAGGACGAGGTCCCATTATACTCTGATCTGAAATTAGGCAAGAAGGGATGATGATTAAAATTTGGAAGTGAGGCAAAGAAACAAACTTCTTACTTTTTGCTCAGATCTGAACAAAAATATATCAGTGTTAGTATTAGTCTCGTTGACCGAGCATCTCCATTGTGAAACTGTTTTTCTTTTGTGAGTCCCAAGCAACCCGGTGCCAAAGCAAAGAGAATGAAATCCATCCGAGGTTTTACTCTGCTGGAGTCGGTTGTTTTAAAGCTTAAGAGGTGTTTATTTTTTATTTTATTCTAGGAAAGCTGAGAACATCTGTAACATTGAACTATCCAAAGCAGTCGACTCATAAGGTCAAGAATAGAAGTTGACTGTAAAAAGATTTAGGAAATGTTCTTTTTTAAAAATCCACAAGGGAAGCATTTTCTATTTAAAGCTAGGTTTTGTTTCCCAGTTTAATTTATTATGTATGTTTCTGGTAATTTACTTATTAAAAAAACATGAATAGTATGAAACTTTGTAATTGTAGTTTTGAATTATTTGTTATTTTATGAATTGTTACCATGTGTTTTTTAGGATTTTTGGGGAAACAGAAAATGATGGCGTAATAAGAACAAAGTTTGGCGTCATCTAGTGGTTGCAATTAATCACAATTCGCAGTGATGCCTTGACGTCATTAGATCTGTGGAAATCTGCTGAAAAAAAACCCCTGTTGTCAAGTTTAGCTAGAGTCAGACTACAAACAGGAACTATAAAGATGAACCATTCAAAATAAAACAATAGATCTTCTATGGCTGCATAATTGGACTGACATGACTCATAGTCAGTCCATAAAAAGTGTTCAGTTCTTTCTCAACAAGGGGAAGATGATGGATGGATGGATGGATGGATGGATGGATGGATGGATGGATGGATGGATGGATGGATAGGTGGCTGGGGAAAGAGTGGTCTGGGCTTCCCTGCTCAAGTTGCTACCCCCACGACCCAACTTCAGATCAAGGGGAAGATGATGGATGGATGGATGGATGGATGGATGGATGGATGGATGGATGGATGGATGGATGGATGGATGGATATTTTGAGATAAAGACTTGGACTTGGTCCGGCTCAGACCAGCCATTAGCCTTGTCAGATTTTCAACTCAGGGCTGCTGAAAAGGTTATATGAAACAGATAAGATATTAACTGTTCATAAAAGCACACAACTTTGTGTACACTGGTCAAAAATATCCACTCGCTTTCATTGTACAAGATCTGGTCATTTTATTTTGAAAAGCGGAAATGGAAGTAGTTGGACAACACTCCATCACCATTGATGTTTATGTGAGCGTATCGAGGTAGCAGCCATTTTTTGCCGTGCTCCTCTCTTTTGTTGGAGACGGTTCAAGTTTCTCCCTGACAACAACAATAATAATAACACGTCGGAGTTAGATTCAGCTCCTTGTTTTTATTTTTAAATTATTTTTAAATACTCGGGGCTGGCTAGCTTGCCAGCGAACTCTTGAGCGAAATGGACCCAGCGAGCCGATATCAAGTGGTGAGTAGTTTGGACGAGCGGGACGTGGGAGATCACAACAGAATCGCGTTTCATGACTTGACCTGCCACTAACAAATATAAAGAAGTGAGGGCTTGGTTTGAATATATATTAGTCGCTTCTGCTTTTTACATGTAAACCCACAGAACCTGACCACAGTAGTCGAACTGTGCTTTACGTGTTTACTTTGTGTTTTTATTTGTTTTTAACAGCCCGGATGTTTCTCTTACTTCCGCGTTAGCTAAGCTAACGTTAGCCGTGATGCTAAAGGCCTTTAAATGTAAGGTGGGTTTGAGATTACCGCTATGTGTAAGTCCTTAATGGTGGTAAGTGAAAATAAGCAGCTTTCGACGACGATTAAAACACTAATTCTGAACGAACCGATTTACTCATTACCTTAAAAACATTTGTTTTAACTTATAACTTCCGTAATTGTGATAGCTGACGGGGCGGAAACGACAGGGAGGTAACCTGATTTTTCCGAAATGTCACAAGCTACAGGGTTCCTTTATCTATTTAATGAGTTTTGGGTTAAAAATAGGAGGAAACGAGTTTCATGTGATGACATCCGTTTTAAACGACACGTACGCATATATTAGTATTAGTCCATATGAGCCGGATGTTGTGTTAAAGTCCCTTTTTGTCCTCAAATGCCGTGTGTGTGTGTGTGTGTGTGTGTGTGTGTGTGTGTGTGTGTGTGTGTGTGTGAGTGAACAAAGCAGAGGTTGCATCAACAGTTCCAGGAATTAGACAGTACCCTTTGGTTTCTCGGGGGATCAAAACTCAAGCCTGTTTTTCTGTTCTTCAAATGGTTTTCTTTATTTTTTTTCTCCACTAAAACCAGACCTCTGCTGCATTGTACGGCTGTGTGGATTTCGGGGGCATATTTAGACACACAAAAGAGGCTTGTGGCCATGTTGTTATGTAACCCGCCCCCATGCTGTCCTTGATCTTGAGCCAGTCATCAGCTACTCATTCGCTCTCTGCCTCTGCTGGAAGGACCGATTCTCAAGATGTTTATCCGCTTTGTGCCAAAGTTCTTTTTAAAAAAAAGCTGCTGATATTAGTCACCTCACCTCTACTTTCAGTGGTATGAAACAACCTGAAAGTTTCCGTTACATCACGCAAGAACTTTTTGAATCTGTCCTGCAGCTCTTAGGACTCAGTTGTAGCTAAAACTGTGAGAAAACTGTAAAAATTTCCACTTGGAATTAAACATTTGCTCAGATTTTGAATCATTTTAGAGATGGAAAGTAACAGTTATTTTTTGATGCATCACAGCATCAACATGGAAGCTTCTGAATGGATTATTTTTTGTGTCAAACATCAATTTTGGTAACGTTAATCTGTGCTGCCACTTAAAGAGTACCCGTATATTTTGTACGGTTTATCCCAGTGGAGTTGCGGTAGCTTCATGTAGTGGAAACGTTAAAGCTCTTTTCTTTACAGAACCTCAAAGAATCAGTATTGAGTTAGCATGCATGCTAATTTGTGGGCAGCAACCTGTGATAAATAGGGTTTTGGGACATGAAGTATATAAATTGGTGCATCAATAAGCATTGTATAGCTGCATTGCAATCCTCTGGGTTGTAATTAACCGTGGGGTGCCTAAAACCTCCCACCTCTCAGACATATTATCATTTTTACTAGATGTGTCCCGATACTAGCTCATTCAGATAAAGTACAAGTACTTCAGATTGGGTGGTTTCCAATACTGGGTGATTAACAAGTATTAAACTTTACACAAAGGTTTTAGAAACACGTTTCTTTTATGAAGAACAGAGCAAACCATTTGTCCTAACATCACCTGTGTTTATTTTCAAATATCTCCAAACTCTGGACGTTTATTTATTGTTTTTGCCCATTTTAACTAAGTAATAGTCTTAACTATGGAGGTGGTTTAATGAGTATACGTATGAGTATTTGAGGCTGGTTCTAAATGTTTTCCCAGGCCAGAGGTGATCTGTAATCCCTCCAGTGAGTTCTGGGGGTCTGCCCCGGGGATTTCTTCCCAGTTGGACATAACTGGAAGACCTCCAGTGGGAGGCGTCCTGATCAGATGAACTACCTCAGCTGACTCATGTCCTTTCTGCTTTGAGCTCCTCGCTTCTTAGGCTGAGCCTGAATGCAAAAATACTAATAAAACAAATTTCTAATTGTGTTTCAGTAAAAGCAAATAAAAAAAAGCAGGAGTCAAGGAGCAACAGAGCAGAGTTGAATGCCGACCTTGAACACAGGAAGTAGCAGTGAATGTATCGGAGCCTCATTTTAGGCATGTGCTCTAGAATTGAGGAGACGTTTCGAGTCACGTGAACTTAGCTGGATGACGTTTCTGTCGATGCACCTGTTCGATGACGACGCTCGGCTCAGGAATGTGTTTAAAGGCTGCAAGGAAGCCAGACTCGTTCAACCACCTCAGCAGCTTTCGTTCTGAAGCACCTCCCCCTCCTGTAACAGCAGACATATCTGCAAACAGCTCAGTGTTGCGTCACGTTAACAAGTCTTGGTGGGGTGGAACATGAGCGGTGTGTAATTACTCCTGACTGTGCCCTCCTGCTTAATCTCTTGGTTTATGTTTGCAGTTCAGGACATCCTAAWCTGTGGGTTTAACAGTCTGGTTTTGTTTTGCTCCTGATTCAGGGAAAACAAAATGTCTGTAGGCGTTTGGCAGAAAATGAAACAGACCCACGTTCCTTCCTCTTCTGGAACCGCCACGTCTTCATCGCTCCTATGTAATTTCAGATGTTCAGATCTTGGTTCTGGTGAAAACAAAGTAAATAAATGGAGCACTTTGCTAACGGGATCTTAATTTACTGATTGCGTTTGTGTGGATTGCTTTTCCACAGTTGTGCCGACTTGACTTTTTATTATTTTTGTCTTAAAGGGGTAGTTCAGATCTTTTGATTTATTTTTTTTAACTGGGCTTCTTCCGGCACTCCCTGGGCGAAGTTTGTTCTCCCTTTGCACTGGTGGGTTTTCTCCAGTTAACACCAGTTTCACTGCAGACTGAAAACATGCATGTTGAGTTGACTGGTAACTTGAAATTACTTTTGTGTGATGGTAAGAATGATTGTCTTTGTGCGTCCCTGTGATGGACTTGTGACATGTGCGAGGTGTTCCCCCCCACCCCCACCACCTGGTTGGTACGACCTCAAATTCATATCACGATAAATTGAATCCCTTCATTTGTTTTCAATACTTGGAGTTTAAAGGGAATAACTTCTCTGAATGATCTTTATATAGACAATAAGTTTGCCTCATTTGAACAGCTAACACAGAAATTTGACATCCATAAGTCACAGTTCTTCAGGTATTTACAACTGAGACATTTTGTAATGTCAAGCTCTGGATGTTTTCCTCTACGGCTATGGAGGTAAATTTGTGTTTTTATTATTCAATCAAACAAAAAGCATCTTCAATCAAAAAAAATAATTTCAATC